GCAACTTACTTCTCGCAGCACGCCAGTGTGCTGCGGCACACCGTTTGCGAGACACGGTCTATAGTTTATCGCGAATAGTACACATTTAAATAAAACACTTTAACGGTTTAAAACGCGATATATTAGTTAAAAATCATTTTCAAGTAAGTCCTAATATATCGCGTTTTAAACCGTTAAAGTGTTTTATTAAATCTCATGTTATAGCTCATTTGGTAGCACGGCACAGCACGGAAGTCTGTGATTGCAACACACCGAAGACACCCTTCTAAGCCGTTCTGCAAAAAAATACTTGTCAAGCGCGATTTGACTCAGCAATCGTGCTGTTAGTCCCCCCACCATTGATGGCTCCGCCTTAGGCACTAATCGCAATAATCAGTCAAAAAAAAAGTATTTTTGTTAAGAGATTTGAGTCAGTTGAGAGGAAAAATAACATACAAAGTAAATGAAATTAGGAGGCTTCTGAAACAAAGACAACCAAACCTAACGTAACTTAAAAGTTGTAACAAAGTTTCTACTTTCTTTGTAAAGTTCTAATTTTCCGCAAAGATGCTATCGCCGAAGCAGCCATTAGCGCCGAGGAACTTGGAAAATCGGAAACCACTCATTTACCCCAATAAAACTTAATGTTTCGTGTGAAATAACAGTTTCGCGAGTTCCCCCCAATTTATGCAAGACCAAAGTTTACTCAAAGTTTATGCGGGTTGCTACGAAATAGCTAATTAGAAGCACTGTTATGTGAAATAGTTATAGCTGTGGGATCGATAAATTCACAGCTGACTAAACGGTTTAAAACGCGAAGTATAGTAAGATTTAACTTTTGACTCCGTGAACTTTGCTACTGAGAAGCATCCAAAACTTCGGTTCTTGCTTGAAAATCAATTGGAAATTAAATGTTTCCCCTCAGCTAGTATGACAATAAAATTAAAGTGTTTTATTGTCATACTAGCTTAGTCAGCCACTTTGTCTGCGTAGAATCGTTATTTTGGGCATCCATATTGGTTTTTGAAAGCTGTTACCTACGTCATCGTCGCGTTCGTCGCTCGCGACCAGTCGTTCTTGCGAGTTCATCTCAAGAGATAGACATATACTGTCGCAAACATTTTTTTTTTATAATTTAATAAAGGGTCATTCTCTATTACATATTTTTCGTGTATCTTGAACCGTTTTCGCAGCGTACGCATTGGAAACCTAAAAAGATAAATAATTTTCCCCTTTTTTTTCACATTTCTCGCTGTATCTTCGCTTGCATTAGTCGCAGGGCGATGTTTTGATAGCCTATAGCCTTCCTCGATAAATGCCCTAACCGACCCAAAAAAATAATCTTAAATTCGAAGCAGCAGTTCCTGAGTAGCGCGTTCAAACAAACAAATACACAAACTCTTCAGATTTATATATTAGTATAGATTAATAAAATCATAACTTTTATTTTACGCAAATTAATAATGTCATCATTGAGTATTTATGTAGCATTGGGTTGTATAAATATTTATTTACTTCAACAAATCTAGAAAAAGTTTGAGAATCTCAAGCAGAGTTTCTCAACCTTTCGCCTAGACTTACTAAATGGCCGTATATTTTATCGCGAAATAGTTTACGCTAGCTAGTTTCGTATTCACAGATCACAATCTTGTTTTCTGTGCTTTGTGCGGAATTATTTATTGTCCTCGAATATGTCGGTGTGGGTTAGATATCGGGTCATAAATTTGCGATAAAGAGCTTTCGATATCGCTTTTAGTTAATAATGGCATCATAAAATACACGAGTACTTACAGCGCTTCCATTTATTTAGTGATATCCCGTTTACCCTGTGGAGCATGCCGAATACTATTCTGTGTCCGTTTTACTAATGCCTTGCCGTCCGAAACAATTCAGCTAATAAACATTTATATTAACTACGGCCCGACGTTTCGAATGTTTTGCAGCAGCCGTAGTCAAGGGGGTGCTTTTAAATATTTCTATTGAAATAATGTTCAAGGTTCTTCTTTTTTTTAAATATTACAATTACAGCGTGTTTTCAGGCAGTTTCAGTAATTAATGACTAAATATCTATTCTTCCATAAATCAATAGAATTTGGAGAATACTTAGAAATCATCCTGGTTCTTCTTTGTTTATATATTTTTAATTGTTTCGTATGCTTTAAAGCAGCCGTGGTCACGGGGAGACCGAAGCGTCGGGCCGTAGTTAAAGTATTTGTAAAATTGGTTTAACTAATTAACATCGCGTTTTAAACCGTTGAAGTGTTTTATTTAAACGTGTACTACTCGCGTTAACTACAGACAAGCCATTATCCCTAGCCCTAGCTATAAGCCCGTGTAATGGTTGGTTTTAATAACCGCGGGATAATTGCGGACAAATTGTTTCCGTGTTTGGCTGTCGTAATGAGCTGTTTGCATGCATATTAAGGGACCTCGTTTTGTTTTCAAATCATTTTGTATGTTGTACTCATAACCTTTAATATATAAAGCTGAAGAGTTTGTTTGTTTGAACGCGCTAATCTCAGGAACTACTGGATCGAATTGAAGGATTATTTTTCATGTTTGTCGGACAGAAGTTGGAAAAGAAGGCTTAAGGCTACATAATACGTTAAACATCATGCTTTGACCAATAAGAAACAGAGAAAGTTGTGGAAAAGCCGGGAAAATATCTACCCAAAAAATATGTATGAAAGAATGATTCCTCTTTAAACGATGTAAAAAAGTGTCCGCGACAGTGTATGTCAAACAAACAAACAAAAAATACTTTATTTTCACCACAATGTTACAAAATAAACTTAATTAAAAATTAACAAAATGTAGCGAGAAAAGGCGGCCTTATCGCTAAAGATCGATTTTTTCCAGGCAACCTTGAATGTCTATTTTTTTAAAATTAACATTCACTACTCATACTATTCCACGCGGACGACTGGTCTTTAATAAATCAAAACTAGACGTTCTGAATGCAAAATATCAACTTCAAATAACATTAACTTCGAAGTTTGTAAATATGCAAAACCGTAATTACAGCTGAATAGCGTGACAGCCTGTCTTAAACGTTTGATATCCGTCGTGCTAAGTTCTAAAATTAATTTTGATTTGAAAATTGCTTGTAATAAACATTAATAGAATAAGCATTTTACGGCAAGTAACGCGAACTACGGCGTATTATGCTTAAATACTATACAGTGATTGTTTGTCTGCTGTTACGTTACAGTTTTTTATAATAGAGTTGGAGAGACAACTTTGGGATTGGAACAGCGAATCCCACCTTACACCTTAGCAAAATGCGCTATCAATCTATTTTTGCTTTGGATATTCAGTAATCCACAGACTAAAACCAAAATGCGATTTAACTTCACGGCTTTACATGTGTGGACGGTTTGTAACCCGGACGGAAATTTCGATAAATAACCACACTTAATATCCCTCTATCCAGATGAAGTCCAAAGTTTTAGAAAAATTATAAATCGATTAAAAGCATCTTAGGCTCAAGACAACCCCTTGATTATTAGTTATTCACTGCTACCATTAGAAACTTGTCTTTTACACAATATTAAATTAACCTATTCTTGCTTTGCCTATATTTTATACATACCATTATTTTACTTTTAGTTAGAATGAAATAGTTTTGCTAAGAGAACCAAAATAGTTCGACAGTGCACCTTGTTTACATGTGATGTGGCTGTAAAGTAAAAATTTACGTAATTTTACAGGAACACCTGGAAATGCTGAAGGATGAGGCACCCCGTGCGGACCCGTCGAGGCTTGAGCAGGTCCTCTCCGCAGCATATGCGCTAATCAGTCCAGAAGTCCAGCAGGTTAGCCTGCCAGACTTCCCGTTAGATAATCTTCACAACGCGGCTCTAATGCTGGTAAGATCTATCTCACTTCATAACTTTTTCTAGAAGTTGTTGTTGTACATTGGACGGTTTGAAACGCGAAATAGATTAATATGAATGGAGGACCCGTGACCACGATTCGGCTGTCGCAAAGCATCAGGTCATGTCGTAGTTGAATTAAGTTATCTAATCGCGTTCCGAACCATTAAGTGTTATTTTTATAGCTGAAATCTATTTTTTATTTTTTATATTTTTTTCATCTATACTAATATTATAAAGCTTATGAGTTTGTTTGTTTGTTTCAACGCGCTTATCTGAGGAACTACTGATTTAAATCAAAACATTATTTTTTTGTGTTGGTTAGACTATTTATTGAGGAAGGCTTTAGGATAATGAACCTAACTGAAATAATGTATAGCTCTATAAAAATAATAATTGAATTACGAATGACAATTTAATTTTAATTTAAATTTTTTTTACTATTGTTCGTGAATATATTTTGTACTGAGATATACATGTCTGAAGTAGCTTGATATAAAACACATGCTGCTAAAAGGGTTATGGAGTGCCTTTTACGAGTTTGGCATTTGGTTTGATGATTTTTATGTCCCGAATCGATATTGCGTGCGAACACGTGCCCTTGAAACTATCTTCTCAATTTAGTCGCATTTCACGCTACAGCCTTTTACAAAAATAAAGTTTCAAAGTCAAGGGGAGATTTGATTGAAATGACGGCGTTAAACTCGTTTTTTATAGAAGGCTAAAGCAAAATATGACTGCATTTTAGCTTTCTTTAATATAGAAAGATTATGTAAATTTACCAGAATAACTATCTACCTAACAAAAGTTGGGGCACCCGCTTGGGGAAGGGGAGATACCGTCATCTTACTTAGTTAGCTTCTAGAGTCACACATTTAAATAAAACGCCTTTAACGGTTAAATAATTAAAATGTATTCTGGCAGTCACGGTTATTACGAACTTCCGAAAGGTTCTTAATTGAAGATTTTATTACCGTTTTAAACTGTTTAGAGTATTTGATTTAAATGTGCCTCTTCTTGCTTACTAGCTAATGACAGCTGGATCTCTTCTTCTGCAAATCAACTTCTAAAAGGAAAATTTGAATTACGGAATACATATTACACAAATACATACAATGTCCATTAAAAAATTTTGTTTGTTTACAGCAAAACAGCCCAAACATTCCGACGCACAAACTTCTCTACTATTTATACCCCTACAATGCGTTCTTAACTAAAGCCCACGCTAAGAATGTGGAAACAGTATTAGATAACCTTCGCATAGACTCGAAACCAAAGTGGAGTATTAGCTTACAAGGCGTAGAATTTAAGGAAAAACAAGCTTTATTGTCTATGGAAGTGAATGGGAGTAGGAGCGAATTTGCCGTGCCGTGTGGGGAGCGCAGAACGAAAAGAGAAGAGAAGGGAATAGTGAAGACGGAGTATCAGAGTCGTTTGCTTAATGAATTGCTTCTGAGTCATAGTGTTGGTGACTTTTGTATAGTAGGTGTGTTTTCTTTTGTGGAGTTTCATTTAATATGTAGTTAAGTCGGATAGTCTTCTGTAAGGAGGAAATGGGGAAATGGGTGAAATAGTAAGCTTCATCCGGTCTTCTATTGGTGTCCCCAATAGAAAATAATAATAACAACCTTAGTCAAGCGCCATTTATTCCAGAATTAATATTTTTATTGTGGTTTTATATTATTTTTTTCCCTAGATTAACTAAATTTATTTAAAAAAATCTTTTCCCACTATAAATACTAGTGTTTCCATTATGTTTACAAGTTCAATCATATTAAAATAATTGTTCTAATAGTTTTGGTGCAGCCGTAGTTGCGGGGTGATTGATTATGGAGGGTGTCCCTGTCAAAGTCAAATCTGTTTCGGGGAAACACACTTTAACTTTAACGATTTAAAACGCGATATATATTAGTTAAACTTATCTGGAAATTATTTTAACTACAGTCGAACGTTGCTGCTTACGTTGTCTCTAAAGTCAAAGTAAAAACTGCTACGTTAGCGCCTATGTATTTTTCGAAGTTGGTATTTGGCGAAACTGGCCGGGTCCCTACAGAATTACGACGGAACAGATGGCGTATCTCGTTTTAAACCGTTAATTGTTTTATTTAAATTAAGTAACTTATTTTACCAGCCACATCGCATTTTCTTCTGTTAAACTTTACATTCTAATTCGTCAGGGCCAAAAGGCTGTGGAAAGAGTCTTCTAGTCACGCAATTATCTTCCTTATTGGGTTACACAATGGAGCCAATAGTTCTGTATCAAGATATGACAGCGAGAGATCTGATACAACAACGTACCACTTTGGACAATGGTGACACTGTCTGGAGGAACTCCGCACTGGTCGAAGCAGCTCTAAATGGACGTTTGGCGGTATTGGACGGCTTGCATAGAATACACGCTAGTACTTTGGCTGTTTTGCATAGGTATGTAACACAACAGAATTAAAATTAATATCACAAGCATATAAATGACAAAAAGCACATCTGTTTTGCGTTTTTTTCAGTTAAACGATCAATGAAACCTTAAATTGTGTAAGGCTAACTAAGTAAGATTTTGTCAAAACCGATGTACAGTGAAACGGCCATCGTTTAGCATATCTTTGTCTTCGGGCAAACCTTTTCTCCCCCCCCCCCCCCCGAACAACCCCATTATGAATAAAACCATAATTCCTCTAAAAACGGAAATTCCAGTGAGCTACGTTGGGACTATTCCCAAAGCTAGTTTTGTTTTGTTAATTGAGCAAATTTATTTTCGGCCGTTCTGTATATTATTTAAGAAGACATAATATGGTTATTGTGCAGAGATGAGTAAAGATAATTATTTTTTTAAGCCACTCGTGTATTCAGTAATTTGAAGTATATTTGTTAATATAATATTAAGTGAAACTACTCTTATGAGAAAAAAGTCTTTCGAACCTAAGTTACTTTATTAATTTGCAGACTAGTCCACGACAGAGAACTGCAGCTGCATGACGGTACTCGTCTTATTCGTCATGACAGATATGACGATCTTCTGAAGTCTGGACTGTCACCTCAACAACTCGAAGACAGTGGTGTCAAAAGGATACATCCTGCTTTTAGGTAAGTCATATTAAGTATTGTTCTTTTAAACGCGAAATATTTTGTTGTCTTCTTTACAATTTATTTTTTGGAATCTATTGTTTATTGTATAGGATCTAGATCCCTTAAATCGTGTATCATATCGAGAAACGAGTAGACACCGTACTTTCTCCAAACACCCACTACTACTAAACAGATGGCGTTAGCGTTGCATATTTGGCTCTAGTATTAGGGGAGAGCCTCCATCTTCAGCCCCGTGACCCAGCTGCTGCAAAGCATGCTGTTGCAAGAAAAACCTTTTTAGTCGAATATGCAAAGCCAAATTACGTTGATATGTTACAGACCATCAAATTAGCACCATACTTGTCGGTCCTCTTCTATCATAAAAAATATTCTTTTAATGATTCCAGGATAATAGCACTAGCAGAACCCCCCGTTCTTGGACGCGGTCCACACTGGTTGTCACCGGAAATCCTCAGCCTCTTCATATTCCATGAGATGAGGAATCTCAGCAAGAAAGAGGAGATATTTATTATTAAGTCTTTAGTAAGTTGTATTTAGGAATAATTGTAATAGTCAAAAGAAATTTTCTACCCTTAATTGCAGGTAAGAACAACGATAATATATTTATTTAATTTAAAGTGAAACCGTTTTTATCGGTTTACATTACATTACTTACTTACATATACGGAATTCCACAACCATATCGTTAAAAATCGATGTTTCATGGTTTGTTAGGTTTCAAATAAACGTAATAATTTTATGATATATGCAGTGTCTTTACCGACATTAATTTGTTTTATTTATTTTCCAGTACGGTGAAATATCAGACCCACTACATTCCATAATAGACCTCGCCGACCAACTGCGTCATTCAGACGACAGTACACTCAAGAATCTCTCATCCTCACTCTCAACACGGCAACTCCTCAGGATCGCGAGTAGGATGTCCCAATATCCAACAGATTCGGCATACGAAACCATTCAACGTACATTCCTAGCAAAATTCCTTCCTAACCTCGCGAGACGGGCACTAGATGGCGCTTGTCAGAAAATAGGAATTGAACCACCGGTCCGTTTTGGCCGCTTCGAGCCGGAAATAAAAGTCAGCTGTGCGATTCAAAATGGCGTCCTTACCATCGGCAACACGAAGACCGAGATTTACAAAACTCAAGCGTTGACTAAAGTACCGGATATACTGTTTTATGATGTGCCGCAACATATGCGACTGTTGGAGTGGTTGCTGCAAGATCTCCTACTAGGAAACCATCTTCTTCTGGTGGGAAATCAGGGCGTTGGAAAAAATAAGATAGCAGATAGGTTGCTGCAACTGCTCAATCGGCCGAGAGAATATATACAGTTGCATAGAGATACCACAGTTCAGTCGCTAACAGTACAACCAAATGTAAGAGATGGAGTGGTGATATACGAAGATTCTCCTCTCGTTAAAGCTGTTAAGAACGGCCACGTGTTGGTAGTGGATGAAGCGGATAAAGCACCTACTCACGTCACGTGTATCTTGAAGACGTTGGTGGAAAATGGTGAGATGATTCTTAGTGATGGTAGGAGAATAGTTCCCAAGGATATGATGGAGAGTTCTGCTGGTGATGTGGCGACGTTTATACCTGTACATGAAGATTTTAAGATGATCGTCTTGGCCAATAGACCCGGCTTTCCGTTTTTGGGAAATGATTTCTTCGCTTCTCTCGGTAAGTCTCAATCGATACCTTACCCTTAACCACCTACCACCTATTTGCCTAATAGACCGCTAATAAGCGATTATTTTGGGATCTATGATAAAAAAATAAAGTTCGATGAAATTAAATGCATGTCTATACTTAATTGCTTCATTTAGGCGTCACAAATTAGGAAAAATAAATATAAAAGTTTAACAAAAAGGAATAACATCTATTTGCATAAGGAATATGGCACCAAAAATAACTATACTAGGAAAATGAGATCTTTTTCAAAAATACTTTATTTTTTAAAGATTTTTTCCTATTTCTAATAATTTTAATAAACTAACAATTAAATCAATTAAATACAAAAGATTAAACAAAATTGCAAAGCCACAACTTGTACATTTTTAAATAACTTTATCAAAAACTCATGTCATTGAGAGATATTAACACCGCAGTGGCGGCAAGTTTCTTGCTTGTTTCTCGTTGTACTACTCCCTTTTGAGAGCTGATAGTAAATTTAAATTTTGAAGTCTTTAGTTTTTAACTCATGTGACGTTTCCAAGTGTACCTACTGATCTACGTGAGTAAATTATTGTTGACTTTGACACTGATAAACTGGTTTTCAGGCGATCTTTTCTCGTGTCATGCTGTAGACAACCCTTCAATTGAGTCCGAACTGACATTGCTGAGGTCCTATGGCCCGGATGTCCCGGAAGGCGTGATGAAAAAATTGGTACAGGCGTTCGCGTCACTGAGAAATATGGCTGATCAGGGACAGCTTACTTATCCGTACTCCACCAGGGAGTTGGTCAACATTGTTAAGCATTTACAGGTAATATTACTGCGATTGTTTGCCTCATATAGGATGATACGTTTGGCAGTTTATGCCTATAAAGTAAATTAATTGAATAAAGTGGAATACTGCCTAAATATCTATAATATTTACAAGATGATCAAATAGATTTACGATATCCCTCTTCTAATGTAGATTTTAAATTGTGTTTGTGTACTACTAAAATTAATCAATGAAACATTGAAATCGCTTTCGTAATGTCGTACTAATAAAAAAAATACCTATAATTATTCGCGTCCAAGAATGAATTTTATTGATATATTTTTATCAATTGATATAGTTTCTTCGCTTTACAGAAATATCCTGACGAAGACCTGGCAACTGCAATAGGGAACGTGTTCGACTTTGATCGCTACAGCAAGGATATGGCGGACACACTTCTAGAAGTACTACATGCTAGCGGATTACCAATTGAAGGTGTTCTGGATGGAAGGTCCAAGGAGGCTCTTAAGAAGATACAACTTACCGTTGAGAGGTTCAGCGGGTGAGTTGTGGAGAGTGGTTGAGAAAAAGAAAAACATTCTTTTTTAGCTGCTAAGAAATATCTTAGTTTTTGACTATTGATATCAAGTATTGTATTTTACCAAATTTAAACCTCATTTAAAAAGGAACTAAGTTTCTAAACACTCAAATAATGCCACCCTTCTATAACCATATTCAAAAGTATATTCAAATATCTAATCAAGGTATTAGTTACTAGATATATATTGGTTAATTTTTTTTGATTTATTTAAACTACAGCCCAACGTTTCGATTACTTGTAGCATCTGCACGGAGGGATTAAAGATGGAGGGTGTCTCTAATGTCAAAGTGAAATCTGCTACGCTAGCGTCACCAATACTTTTTTATTTCACTGTTATAAAACTGTTGTTCCAACATTTATTTAATGTATGCAGAACTTATGTATTTGACCTGCGACTAAAATACAATAAAAACCCCTCTTTTATTCCTATGTATTCGCTGAGATTCGAACCCAAGTCTCTTATGAAAAGATTCCAAACGCATACAATATGAATACGTTTTTAGGCAAGATACGTCATCACCAAAGCACGGTAAAGAAGATCCGAAGAACGAGCCGCATGTTGGCGGAAACATGTGGGCGGGTGGGACCGGTGGGCGAGACACGGCAGGTCTAGGCGGCAAGGGCGGACCGTATCGTCTGGATAAAGGACACGATGTGCATCAGGTATAATATTTTTATAAAGATAATTCATTTTAAATCTTTCCAAAAAGATATTTAATTTATCAAAGCTAAGTTAAAATGCACTGACATTGACAGCGGTCCGTGCTGTTGCTCTAACGAATTGAGTTACCGTAACAAAGCTATCATGTACATAATAACATAATGTCACTCAAACAAAATGCTTATTTATATCAAGCACTTACAAGTAAAAATAATAATGCTTTATAATATATCAATATTATAAAGCTTATATAATAATGCTTAATATAAATGAACAATAACAAACAATATACGAAAAAAATATATAAAGCACTTGATCAAATACTCATTACGGTGGATGGAATGGAATTAGCTGAAATGATATACATTTTGTTATCAGTTAAGTGAAGTTGAAAAACAAGATGTTCCGGAGCACGTAAAGAAAGCTGCGCGTGAAATGAACAGAAAAGTGTTCGCTGAACGTTTGAAGGAGATCAAGATGAGCGAATATGACGCCAATCTCTATGGAAACTTCTTAAAGGCTGTGCAACCGCAGGTAATTTTATATCTCTGCTATTTTGTTCCAAATTTAAATTAAAACATAAAAAATGACGTATAAAGTACCACTACAAATATGGCCGATTTAAAACCATAGAGAGCTAAGCCCTTTTATAGAGTGAAGTTGTTGCCACAGATGACACGGATTTAGAAATGTCATATACGTATATAGTCCAAACCACCTTAATATTCAAATAAACTTTCATGGAGACTTTTTTAACATTAATGTCATTATTATTTAACTCAAGGTTTGTAACGCATATCAGCTTTCGTGCATGATTGAGACCTTCTATTCATCGTTGACTTTGATTACATCCCATTCTTATGTAAATGTCGATTTTTTTCTAACTTTAAATAAATCTTAGATTCTATTAATTTACAATGAAATTGACATTTTTACAAAACTTTTGAGGTTTTGTTTTTTATTTTAGCATTTAATATTTCATTAGTTTCATGTATAATCCAGTTTCTTGAAAGTGTTTTCATGGTTCAAATCAATGTAAAACCTTGTGAGATAATGACGATTTCACATCATCTTAGAAAAAATGTCAATTTAGAAAAATATACATACATATACATGCTTAACTCTTTTTCAGATAAGTGCATTGAGAGGGGTGTTAGCTGAACTGCAAGCAAAGAAAAAGGAGAGGCAATGGAGTAGGCACCAGACCAGTGGAGAGTTGGATGATGGAAAGATTATTGAAGGTTCGATATTAAATTTTTTGTTATACAATTTGATAGTAACATAGCCTAAGATATTAACTACAGCATGGTAGTAACGATGTTCTTTTAAGTATGTATTACCGAAGGTATAGAACAACACAGATGAAGCCTGAAATACTTATAATTATAAAATTAGAAATATACAATGGATAAATTAATGACACAAGCGTGACTTGAAACAGCATATCGGTTAAAGCAGCAGCATGGACTAGATAGATTGGTTTAAGTCCCACCTGTGCCATCAAATTTATAAAAAAAATTAAGATTTAATTAATTTAATACGAACATGTGATAAATGGGGTACTTCACGTCAGAAGTGAACCGTTTGAATTTGAGATTTTATTTTATATGTTGGTGTTAATTTGTACATCTGTATGTTTCAGGTATAACGGGTGAGAGATCAATATATCGCCGTCGCGCAGAGCAGGAGCCACCACCAGGTTCGCCTCCAGAGAAACCAAAGCGGCTAAGATTGGTTTTGGATCTTTCTGGAAGCATGTATAGGTATGTAATATCTATTCTATAATGTGAATGGTTATTTTTCTTGGTTTTATGTATGTTGTTACTCAGAATTTGGTCTCGACGTTTTGCCATCACTAGACGATGATGATGACTGTTCTTGATTGCTTTGCAAGATGGCCGACAAAGATTTACACAATTTATGTAAAGTTGAGTAAAATCTTTGACTTTGCTGTTATTAAACCATTATTATAGATGATGAAAGTTCACCACTACATTCCATATAACATTTAATACAAAAAATATCTTCCAAGTATTGTCTTAGCTAACATATTTAAATAAAACACTTAACAGTTTAAAACTCGAAATATATAACTTAGCGTATTGTTTAGTTATCTTAACTACAGCTCGAAGTTTCGGATCGTTGTTACAATCAGTTAGCTAATGCATCATATTCAACCATTAAAACGGGTTTTTTTTAATATTTTACAGGTTCAATTCTTACGACGGCCGTTTAGAACGTTCCATGGAAGCCGTAGTGCTATTGACGGAAGCGTTGAAGGGTTACGAGACGCGTATACGCTACGATATGTTTGGGCACTCTGGCGAGGAGCACGCGCTGGAGCTGATCAGGGTCGACAGACCGCCGGAGAACGAGAAGGAGCGATTAGTGGTAACGTGAAACCCCTTTTCAACTGTAGCGCACCCTCCCGCCCCATCAATTTACTTTGAATATACTACACACACCGTCTACGCTAAATATAGGATTTCCGTTATATTCATATACTGAATGAGAAATTAATTCCTTTTAGATAATAAGGACGATGCATGCGCACGCGCAGTTCTGTTGGTCTGGTGATAACACTCTGCCCGCTGCGAAACACGCTATCTCTACGCTGGGGAACGAAGATACAGATGAATCTATTGTCCTCATACTGTCTGACGCTAACCTAAGAAGGTAAGGTTTATTAATGACTTATAAATAACGGGTCGTGGGTCCAGCATGTTTCTAAGTACCTTCTGATTTTTCTAAAATATCTCGGACTTCATCAGGAAATCAGGATATTGAATGGGTAGTAGGAAAAACTTAACAACATCCGTGATCCGTAACATCAGTGCCATCGAATTTCTGTTTCACCCTGTGAATTTTCCGGAAAAGCCGAAATAGGTCGATAGCGCATTTTGTTTCGATGTTATATGGCTGGCTTATTTTACCTTCCACTGAGTGGACCCCATGCTCGTCTCTTCTTTGTCTTGTATTGATAAAAGTACTTTCCACACTCTTTAGTTACTCTTTATTAATTTCAGATACGGTATACCACCAGAGGAACTGGGTGGTATAATGACGTCAGATCCGAGGGTGCAAGCTCATGTGATATTCATCGGTAGTCTTGGAGATGAAGCTGACATGTTAGTAACAGATTTTTAGTCTTTTGTTTGGCTCAAATGCTATTTTAGTAACCTGGACTCGCTGTCTCTTTCTTTTGAAGTTAATATATGCTGCTGGCTATTGCTGGTGGCTCGACATCACTTCTAGAGACTTTTTATTGCGTTTAATTGGTTTTATTTTGAAAACTTTAATATCTTTACTTGTTTAAATTCATGTTCAAATAATTCATTTAAATTAAACCAGCATCCAAAGTGTTCCGTGTTCTAACCAATTGAGATAACGTGGGTTTTTACTACTTGCGTAAGCTATATATGTTTTCTACTTTATTTCTGTTTAAAGGCAATTTGTATCAACAAATTTAACTTTTTTTATTTTTTTTTAGGCTACGACGAAAACTGCCCGCTGGTCACGCGCATATATGCATGGACGTGGCGTCACTACCTCAAATCATGCAACAGATTTTCGCCTCTTCACTTCTTCAGGACTCTTAACCGAAGCTATATAAAGTCAGTCTGGCTTCGAAACGACAGTCTCAAAATTCTGGCTATTAAAACGTGGGTAGTTACAAAAACGACTTTGATACTTTAAATATTGGCTGTAGTACAAATTATTTGATACTTTCAAGACAATACTAGCATATTGTTGAGTTGATTTCCAATAGATATAAACAGGTAACCATGGCAACGGTTGTTATATTATAAAATACTACTAATGGGTATCTCAAAATTGTTTCCTACAACAAACTGAAGAAAAATGTGATAGTAGTAAAATAAAAGTATAGTCAAACTGACCTTAGCAATATATATTTTGCGAGAGTGTGGCTGGCTTTTATAAATATATAAATATTTGTACATCACTTTTATATTAGAATAATATAATATTGTTATTATGCTGTAAGAGGAAAGGATAAATGAACACTGTTATACTGTACCAGTTTTATTTAATATATTTTTGTTACATTACAGATGATTTTTCCTTACAAGCCTATAATTATTTTATTTTATGGCATTATATATTGCTAATTACAAAACTCTACGGAGAATGCTGCACGCAAAAGAAACAAAAGACGAACGATAATTATCTACAGTTTACGCAAGTACTTATAAGTACTGATAAATTAGGCTTAAAACTCATTAATATGATTAAAACTTATTGATAACTAAGTACCAAAGTAACGTAGTTCATACGTGAGTTATCCGAGACCACAACTACTGCAAAGCATCCGAAACGTCGAGGCCTAGTTAAATTGAAGTAAAACTATATATTCTGCGTTTTAAACCGTTGAAATTGCTTTATTTAACCGAATGTCTAAATTATTTACAGAAGCATTCCAACATTTAAAGATCTCTTCGCACGTAAGTGCATCGTACGCCTATAATTGTTTACAAAACGGTCGTTTGGGGGCTGAAGCAGCACGCTCGTGACGTCATAAGTGCGCTCTCAGGCTACATTGTTTGCTCTGTACATAAGTGGTGGGAAACGAGCAATAAAGGGAATTGAGCCTTCTGCACAGAATAACGTAAACAGTAAGGATTGCTTGAAAACGCGTCGTTTTATAGGTTCAAAATCATTGGTAAAATATAGCAGTATTTAAATACTAGCATCTGCCAGAGGCTTAGTAAGTCTAAAAAGATTATACGACACGTGTACAAACAAATTCGGTTGTATATTTAATTATTAATCGCGGTGTATGAAAATCCTTTGATTATTTAACTTTTGCCGAAACATTTGGTAGTTACTTCTCATACAAAGGGAAAAGCTTCTATAATTTTGTTTAACAACCTTAACGTCTTCATCAACATTTAATTAGAATAAGGTTTAATTTAGACGTGATAAATATAAACTATGAAATCATGATTCTCTTATGTGAAGCAGACTTTTTTACCAGTTAGTTTAATTTACAGGCAACTAGTCAGACTGCTCTGTTAGACAAAAACGATTATTCATTCATAGAACTCGAAGCAAGGAACGCTATGCTAGGCACAGCGCTTAACCACAGATATAGTCTTTGAGGTATCTAATTTATATACATTTTAAATTACAAAAACCGCTCGAAAGCTTACGAAAGTTCCGGCCGTAGGTTATGAATAATTTAATTTATAGATCTTGCGTTTTAAACCGTTAGTCGCGTAAATTACAAACAGGCCTTGAATGTGTTTTTTATTGTATAACATTATCTGATGACAAAATAGATTTAAAAGCTTTTGTGTGTAAATTACATTTACGATATCGATTAACCAATCCCAACTGTTGTCGACTGAACTGTGGCAACCCTCACAGGACGTCAAAAGTGTAAAATGTTAATATAATGAGATGAACTTTTGGCTTAATGAAGTGCTCGGTACATATTTAAAGCCTTTGTAAGTGTTAAATGACATTTTAAGTTCATTTTGAAGTCTTGTAATACTTAGGAGCAATACAATGTTTGGATCCAATTTTTATTATTCTTTATGGCGTACATTTTGTTTAGTTCTGGGTTCCTAGGTTCGATTACCAGATAAACATAAAGTAAACAGTAAATAAAAATAAACACAGTAATGATCCGGCCAGCCAATCTGTTCTGGCTGCATAGACTATGTTCCTTTTTGCCTTTTCCTCTCACTCTATCCTATGTCTGTCCCTCTCCTGCATTTAAAGTTAGTACATGCCTAAGCGCCGAGGCACAATAACGTACGAGCTCCCTTGAGAAACAGCAGCCATCAAAGTTGCCGAAGATAGCAATTCGGTGTTGAGAAAGAGTCGCTGTAATGTTCTAGAAGCTAAGGAAAGCACGAGGAAGGATCCCCGGCCGTGAGACACCTGTCAATCGTAAGTATTTATTTTCTATCACCTTTTATATAGGGGTACTTGACCACATGCTTTACTTAGAAAGCGATACTATCTGTACTTATATTATAAATGCGAAAGTAACTGATTTAAATAAAATTTGGTACACAGATATTTTAGCGCCTGAAAAAGGACACAGGCTACTTTTTAATACCAAAAAAGGGTTGATAGGGGTTAAAAAGGGGATGAAAGTTTATGCGGATCAAGGGCAACTAATCGCCCGCTCGCGTCTGGTAAGTCTCCCCCATACTCCCCCGCCACTTCATGTGGCCAGGCGGGGGCATCGGTAAAGAGTCAATTCCTCCAAAAAAAAGGGATGAAAGTGGTTTTTGAAGCTAAAACAATGAAACTTTCTTCTTTCCTTTTTGGAAATAGGAGTGGAAGTGGGAGTGGGAGTGGGAGTGGGAGTAGGAGTGAGAGTGAGTGTAGGAGTGAGTGTAGGAATGAGAGGGGGAGTTAGAGTAGGAGTGATATGAGGTGAGAGTGTGCGGCAAAGTAACACTTACATAAATTAATAAACAGCCTAAATAATTAAAAATTCTACCCCAAGTCACTACTCCACGTGGACGAAGTCGCGGGCACAGCTAGTTTCACATAAAACCTAGTATCAAACTTTAGTATTACTAATGTATGTGTTTACGATTGAAAGCGCGCTACTTTACGATTATTGCTATTTATATCATTTCAGTTCAGATTCCTACTAAAGCTTATTTGCTATTCAATAGGAGAGGAAGTAAACAACGCTATCTAGTGACTTAGAGTTATTTGGTTCATGATTATACACATAGGTCTTATTATAATAACAGCTATTTATTTCCAACATTTACATAAGAGGCCGCTAGTGGCAGAGTAGCCTAACTGCAATTGTATGACTTGAGTTATTTATATTTTCATAGTCAAAAATATTAAGCACTCAAATAATAGTACAAATTCATTTTGCCTGAGTTAATTGCACCTTTTTTTTAATCATGCTTTTGTGTTACTCTGTGTCTAGCAGCCTCGTATCTATACTAACTGGTTCGAATTGTTTTTTTTTGTGTTGCTTAGAATATTTATGGAGAAAGCCTATTAAACCAATAGGAATTAAAATCAAAAAGCAAATTAAAAAAAAAATGAAACGGGGAAAATTATTCGTCTTTCGGACTTTCGTTGTGTTCGCTGCGAAAACGGTTCAAGATACCCAAAAAGTAGATAAGAAAGAATGGTTGCTCTTTGAATAATCTTAGAAAAATGTACGCGATAGTATATGTTAATTTTGAGATGGGCTTACAAGAACGACGGTATCATGGGGGATGTGATAAATATAAAAATTTTCAAACACTTCTAACTGTTTAAAACGCGAAATTTATTAGTTAACTTAAGATTGAGGTTCAAGTAGAAATTCAGCTTAATAATTCAAGGTAATATTAACGTCTGGGAAATGCAAGATGTCCCATTTTCCAACGATAAATTAGATTGTTTGCGTAAGGAAATCCAAACGTTCTCTGTGCTTCGGTGTCTTAGTCGCACTCTCAAGATAAATAAGGGTTTTATTATGGGATCAAAGAAAGATTAGGCGATTAAATGAATTGAATACAGGCTGTACAGAATCTTCAGAATGGCACAAAATGGTTATGCAAATGGAAAACAAAAGTTCGATCGCTCAGGGCACAGGATTTTAATAAATCAATCTACATTAGAATTAAATACTGTCTATAGTTTACGCGAAGACACATTTAAATAAAACACTTTAACGGTTTAAAACGCGATATATTAGTTAACTTATTTTTATATACGCGATATATTAACTAATATATCGCGTTTTAAACCGTTAAAGTGTTTTATTTAAATACATTAGAATTATTATAGAAAAAAGATTTCCATTATAGTAAATAAAGGATAAACATATATTATTTATAAAAAATATACGGATAGACTGTGCAAATGGGATGAACCACTAATACCTTATATTTTGAAGTTCAAGAAATAATTCACATGACAATACAACATTTTGCGGTTTGGCATTAGGGAACTTTCCATCTTCAGTCCCCCCGTGACCACACGAAATCACCCGGAAAATATATTAACTATATTTCTCGTTTTAAACGGTTCAAAGTTTTTTATTTACACTTGTTCTACATGGCTGCTCTACAAACAATACTTAATGTATGATTGTTTTAATTTATTAATATGTAATGCTACGAAGCCCTATAGACATTTCCTAAAAATGATGAAATTATTGATCTAATAAGTATATGTTTAAATAAAATCATTTTTGACGGTTTCAAACGCGAAATATATTAGTTAACTTATTTTTATATAATTTAACTATGGCCCAACGTTATACTTGAACATTTCACAAATCATTTAAATAGAGCCCGACTTCCGCTTTCAGCGCCAATTAATATATTTCGCGTTTTAAACCGTTAAAAGTAATTTTTAAATGTATAATAAATACTTACATAACTACTGACAGTATTTAAGTATATGTTTGTTAACAATTAAGTAAATATAAAAAAAAAATTAAGTTAAAAGTTACCTTAACTTAAAATTACATTTAAGTTACGTAGCTTCTTAAGTGACACCGCGAGATAAAGTTTTATCATCATACACCCCGCTATAAGATCGTTTATTTACCGAAAGTTTCGGGAAATTTTATGGCCGAAATACGTGCCTCGCCTGCGAT